TAAATGAGATATAAATTAAATGAAAGCATCAAATTAACATGTGTGTTAAACTGTATTAAGGATATACATATTATTATTCCTAGAGTTTTAAATGTAGATAAAAGAGTCAAATTTCGGTAAGAGTAGTATAAAATAGTAAGGATCCTACAAAAACATTATTTAATACCTCACCATCATTGTTTAGGGATTATTCATTACATTGATGGCAATTTTTGTTTTATGGTTACTTGAATAATTTGATGAACTTGAGTGACACTCACAGAAGTAATCAATTCTATTGTCATCAAGGAGAAATATAAAAAATATTTTATATATTTTACATAAAAATATATATATTTTAAAGGTTCCTTGTTCGTATGATTTTGTATTGCCCATTTTAAGTCAGAAGTTATAATAATTTTAAAGTCATGAGAGTATTAGTAATCAAGAGTGCTTATTTGACTACATACCAAAGCCCATTGGTATTAACAAAACTTCGGTAATATAAATGTGAAATAATTAATGCTATTGTATCAATAGCGTTAGTATTTGTTTTATATAAGAAATTGATGAAATGATTTTTTTCAAATAGAAAATGCACTGTTTATAAAAAATTGTCTAAGCCTGTGGTTTCCTTACCTAAGGTAATATGCGAAATGATATGTTGTTATATGTATTTTTTAATCCAAATTATATGACTTTACATTTGAAATTCCGTTCATTTCATTTGAAATTTTACAAATTACAAATTTAAATATATTTCATACTTCAACCACACTCTTATTTCAATAGCTATATCATAGAAATACAATAACAATTCTTCGTTAAGAGAGACATGTCGTATTTTCATTTATAATTAATTCCAACATTCAAACCCAATTTTCCGTAATATTTTTTCTATCAAATCAAACAAAATATTAATGAGGTGAAATAATTTTTTAAAACTCAATAAGAGAATATTTCTTCCTTTCTGTTTTGTAGACCATATTTTATGGATTTTTTTTGGAAAATTTCTATTTTGTTGTTTCTTTGTGTTATCCTAAAATACATACTTCATTATTTAGCAGTAAAGTCATTCTACTTAATTTTATTTGTACTGAAAGTTGTATAGAACGAATTATAATTATAGAATTCATTAAAATATTATATTTGAAATTCACTATTTCATCTAACTAAAATTACAAAATGTTCTGTTCATACAAAGCTTATTCGGCGTCGTAATAAAATCTTTTCTAAATTCTAAACGAGCTGAATTTTATATTATGTGTACTCTACATACACACCTTCCGGCGATCCACACACATGAATTGAGCTTTATGAAATAGAAACGTGAAAAAGATATTTTAATTATTACGTTTTTGTACATAAATACAAATTTATGCCCCAAACGTTTTTACAGACGAAAAAATGTAAGTTGTCTCAATTATCAAGAAGGGAAGTAAAAATGCTATGTAATGTTATTAAAATGTATATATATCACATTTAAAACTAAAACCATAAATAATACAAATATCGTATAAATTAGTTTTTATTATAATGTTTTTTCATTTGTTGCATTTGTATACTAAAAGATATTTATTCATAAAAAGAAACAAAATATTATATATATAAATTTTATATATACATATAAACAAAATATTATATTAATAAATTTCTGTTCGTTAGTCTTACTAAAACTCGAGAATGGCTGAACGGATTTATCTTATCTTAGTCTTGAAATGTTTGTGGATGTTCAGGGAAAGTTTAAAAGTTGAAAAAAATTTATTCATTTCCGGGAAAACCCTAAAAACAGCCCTTTTCTATTTCCCATACAAACGTGTTTTTGACATTAGATTTGACAACTAACTAATATGTCAATCATTCTGTTCGATTGAAACAGGAGAAATTTAATAAATACCAATAACTGACTATTTAAGACGGAATAGAGCTCGCCTGGTCAGCTATACATACGAGGTGTGGTCAAAAAGTATCCGGAATTTTCGTTTTAAAAAAATATATATTTGTTTGTTTACATCAATGCAGTTTCCTTTAAATTACCCCCCCCCCCCCCCCAGATAAAATACAATTATGCCAGCATTTTTTCCAATCGTCGAAGCACTCTTGATATTCATTTTTTTAATGTCCTTTAGCGATTCGACCTTTATTTCTTCAATCGAGGAAAAACGACGTCCTTTCGTGGGCCTTTTCAATTTTGGGAACAGAAAATAGTCACACGGAGCCATATCTGGTGAATATGGAGTTGCGGTATGACTACGATATTGTTTTTGGCCAAAAAATTACGAAAAAGTAACGACGAGTGAGTAGGCGCACTACTTGGTTCAAAAGTCATGAATTGCTTTTTCATAAATCGGGTCATTTTTTCGGATTGTTTCAAGCAAACGTCGCATTACTTCATAGTTATACTCCTGATTAACTGTACAATCTTGTGGCAAGAACTCTTGATACACTTTGCCATTATAATCAAAGAAAACAGTAAGCAAAAGCAAAAGCTTTTTTCGCTCTCGGACACGTTGAATGCTTCTAGCTTGACGATTGTGCTTTGATTTCAACATCATAACCGTACACCCATGTTATGATGCTTTCAAGCAAACTAGTGTCGTCATGGGCGTCGTTTAACAGCTCCTGAGCGATGCTCATGCGATTGCTTTTTTGGTCAAAATTCAACAGTTTAAGAATAAATTTTGCTGCCACTCTTTTCATGGCGAAAATATATGATAAAATGTGATAACATGAGCCAATTGATATGCCAACTTCATCAGCAACTTCTCAAATTGTGATTCGGCGATCATTCATTACAATTTTTTCACATTTTCATCGACTATTGACGTGCTGGATCGACCGGGCCGTTCGTCTTCTTCAGCGTCTTTTCGGCCATTTAGGAAAAGCTTATACTACTCGTAAACACTTGTTTTTTTTATATCAGAGTCACCATATGCTTTTTGTATCATTTCACACACTTAATTTTATTTTCTACGCAAAATCTGATTCAAATTCTTTGAGTCTTCAATTCTTCCATTGGTTAAACAAACAAAAATCGCCGAGCTCATAAAACACGTCAAACCTTAGCGACTACCACGAAAAAAGTAAACAGTCAGTAAAGCTGAAAGTTTTATCATAATTTTGGGACATGTATGCCTACACATTAAAAAAAGGTTTTAGACAATCGGCCTCTCCAGACCTTAGAAATTAAAAAATTCCGGGTACTTTTTTCGACAGACCTCGTATATATATTACTAATGACGAAATTAACGCGGACGAAGTTGCGGGAAAAAATATTTTTTTTAAAACTCTATCCGATTTAAACGGGCTATAAAAGAAAACATTTCTTTATAATTTTAGTCAATCTATGAGGAGAGTAATATCTTACAAACCGTATTAATCATTTGACCCTAAATGTAAATAAATCATCAAAGCCATCACGGACATAATATTTTGTACAGTTTCATTAAAATATCGCAAAATTAATCGATGCCATATTAGATAACAGCATATTGGAGTTAGTGATGAATATTTAGATAACCTAAAAATTACTCATGATATTATGGTATCTAATAATAAACAAATATGGTACAGAAAATAATACATACAATACAAATAATTTAACTTATTTACAACATACATATTATCTTACTTCTGGCACACATAAAAGCAATTTTGTATTTTAATTACAAGTTCTGTAAAAGTAAGTTCTTTGTCTACTTTTTTCTTTTAACTTTTAATAATTTTTTTTACTTAGTTCTACCTAAGTGCTCTAGTTAATTCATATTAATTAAAATTTTCGTTTTAGTGTAATATAATTTTATTTAAACATATTTATTTAAAACATTATTTTTTAATTATATAAAGTAACAAATAAATCTAAAACAATCTTTTTAAAAATCATGCATTTATAGGAATGTATTGCACTTCTATTACTTCTATATAACATAAAATATTTTTTGACCTTAAAATATAATATAAATTATATGATATGAAATATTAAATATATATTTTTTTAAACTTATTAAATATCAATACCTTATCATGACCAATACACAGGACACTTGACATACATTGAATTGTGTATGCAATTTTGAAGATCAATCCTTTAAAAGTAAAAGTGAGTGCAGGATTTCAAAGGAAATATATCTAAATTAAGATTCTAGGAAAAATAATGTTTCAAAATACTTAAAATGACTTAAGTTTTTGATAAAAACCAGTCTTTCGGTGGTACCAAAAAATTAGAAAAAAACTTAATTAAATTGTATTATACTAAAAACAACATCATAAAAATAAATATGCACGACAAAATCCCCCCCGCAAAAACCTCTATGAAATGTTATCGGAGCAACGACATGATGGTTCTTATGTATTATCGGGAATCTTCTGTAATCACAAGCCAGGCAATGGTTCCACAGAGGCTGCTCAGTCACACTAATTATATTATGCTTGTTATTACATACTTTATCTATTTTAAATTAGTTTCCCAGACAATGTTCGTTTTATTTTATTTTTTGCATATGTTGCATGTATATATATATATATATATATATATATATATATATATATATATATATATAAAATATATATATATATATATATATATATATATATATATATATATATATATATATATATATATATATATATATATATATATATATATATATTTAGTCATATTGGGAATATTGTGAAAAAAGTTAGAAGTTATAGCTATTTAAGTAGAAAAATATTATAATACGTTCAGAACGTTCTCTTAAAAAAATCCAGACGTAATAACTAGTTGGCCTTGACTTTAAATGAGAATGGAAGAAACTCGTCTATCCATAACATCGTCCTTATGCACAATATTTTTTATAGTATATGGCATATGCCTATATCCATACAAATCTAAATAAGACAGTGACACTATCGCTGAAGAAGTAATAAAAAACCTATTTTAAAATAACCTATTATAAAAAACCCATTTTATAATAAAACCTATTACAAGAATTCTACGATATAAAATTCAATTTATAATTGTTATAAAATATATTTCATACCTTAGCTCGGAACGAAATTCCATATTGGAATGCCTCCTCGGGGTGAAGCGGGATTCTCGTATCGTACTCATCCTCAGGCACCAAATCGTATTCCTTCTTTGAGGGCATCTTTCTTCCCCACTTAAGCAGTTTCATAGGAACTCTCTTCCACGACCCCTTCAGGATCACCCGGATGTAGCGCGCCCTATGTCCTCTTCTAAACATTGCTTACAACACCTACAGTAACCTGCTGTAGGCCGGGCCTTTGCAAAGACCTGTAGAAAAAACATATGATCATATAGTGTAACACTAGCTGCCTTTGAGAAAAAAAATGCTCAATTAAATATCGGTGAAATAAGATTATCTGATTGTGAATCATTTTAAAAGTTCACAGTTTCCATTTCAAATCAAGAAACGAGTAATAAAAATGTTACTTCATGATATAGCTACTTTTAATATTACTAAAATACAATTTTGTTTTTCATAAAACTCCGCAAACTTCATTTCAAACACGTTAAAGAATTTCAAACAAATAAAATAACTACCATGTTTTGTATAAGTTAAATACTATCTATGCTAGCAGTAAAAATAACAATGAAATTTATTTCAAAAAAATGAATAATGCAATCCGATTTAGGTTTATCGTTACATATTCTATAGAATACTAAAATTTCCCTACTCGAGTAAGGGTATGTATGATATCTTAATTGGCAAAGTGGCTAGGACCTCTATCCTTGAAATCGTTTATTGGACCCGGTTGTCAATACATTTTTTACTCAGAGTGAATTATTTCTCATTACTTATTGAGTATTATTTGAAGGAGAATAAAGACCAGGAAAAATTCTATTGCTTTTAATTCAACTTAAAAAGATAAAATGCTCCATAACTAAATGCAATGCCTGTTTGACCTGCAATTTATGATTATAGGAGAATATATCAAAGGGATTTTTGTAAAGATACAAACATGACATATGTAATGGGACTTTTATTGTTTTTAAATGAGAGGTGTTTTAGTTTTTGTAGAATACCTTTTCCTAATATAACTTTAGTTGTTCCTCTTCCTCCTCTTTAAAAAAATTGCCGTTATTGTATTTCATTTTCTAGTTAAAGTTTGATATAAAATGTTAGATACAGTTGTTAGTCTCATGGGAGTAAAATATCTATCAGTTGATTAGATTTTTATTAAAGTTTAAATATAAACCCCTAATATTATCAAAATCATTTTAGCATGGAAAAAGCGAGAATGTAACAATGTTTTTGTTGTTCTTAATGTCCTTTAGTTTTTATACTAAAAAAATTATCTGTATAATTCGATTACATGAGATAATATTTCGATTAACTAAAGCTCAATATAATAAAGAGTAATATCCCTAGGAATCCTTCCGTTTGGAAGGGTTGTTAAAAGAAATAGATGAGTGGGATTTGAGCAAATAGGATGTTTTCCGTAGTTAATTTAAGGCTAATGTCAATAGGTTACAAAAGGAATACACGATGAGAATAAAATTCACTTACGTCGTATTTCAACCAAATGCAAGGTAAATAAGTCTCCAGAATATAAAAACATTTTATAAATTTATACAGCCTGAAAGGTACCAGATTGCAAATATTTACTATTAAATCAAATACTTGGTTCAATATGTTATACTCATACACCTATAAGAAACAAATATGTATACTTTATCTCTTTTTTAGCAAAGGATACTTTTGGATACTGTTAGATGTTACTTATAAGCTAAAAGAAACTTATTGAATAATTCATATAATAATTTTCTGATAAGTTCTATATAAGGGCGTATGTACGTACTCCTACACAAGTCTGTAACCGCGTAGAACTTAGGCAAATTACAAGGTTTAATTGTATTTTTGTACTTAATTAATGCCTCCTTGGGGCTTTTAGGTTAATTTGAAGGTATATTAGAATTTCTTGCATTCAGGGGCGTCCCAAGAAAACGAGGACGTCATCCTAAATTAGAATGGCATCTAAATAAATATTCCCTTGCTTGTTGATGTGAATTTATTTTTTTATTGCCATAGGATCTGTGTCGACAAAAATAGAAAACAGACCTGTTTTTCACTGCAGAAAACTAAGCAATATGACGCTAACGTTAGTCGACACTTTAATAAATTGAAATGTTAAAAACACACTCTATTCTTAAAAACGCAAAAAGACAACAAAATTCATAGTTGTTTTATTACAATTGTACACGATACGAGAAGCAATCGTAGTACTCTCAACAATGTAAACAAATTAATCGAAAATATTTTATATACATTGCATTGTAAAACAATGTATTCTGAATATTATTTACAAAAAAAGAACTGAAGGTAAAAACGCTAGAAAAGTTTACGCGCATTAACGTAAGGCCATCGTTAAATATTTAGTAGGGTTCCTTAAAATACATAACACTATAGTCCTTTAACCCGTAAGAGCTTTTCTAAGAGGGGTCATATTCAATAACACCTTTTATATATTGATAAAAATCCAAAAATACCGAATATCTTAAATTCAGGCCTATGTAGCATATTTTTTTAAAAACTAATTGTTTAGTTCTTAATTTCAAAATGTTTCCATGAACATGTAGTCAGTATATTCTAAGTGCATAAATTATTTAAAGAACTAGCTAAGACTGTTTCAAATACATAATATTGAACATAGTTTCGGAAGGAAGGAAATGGATTCCAAGTTGAAAAGTTATATGATTACCAAGGATTTAAAGAGAAATAATTTATAATTGGGCAAGTTTTAATAAATATTCAATAGGTATAACTTTTCAGTAAGCTTGAAGCTCGTCATATACATTCGTCTGCAGGATCTTCTCTTAAGTTTATTATTTGATCTTGAGAACAAAATAGTAAACTTGGAAAACTTCAGGAACATTTTATTAAGCAGCGAAGATGATTATCGAAATATTAATTGATTTTCCATATTCTATTAACAAAATCGCACTTCTTAATAAAAAGGAGATTAAAAACAAACATAATTTCGTTTTTAAGTGTACAAATTAAACAATATTTTCCTAGTTTCAAGTAAAAAAAAAAGTATGATAAATAGTTAATTAGATTTTTATAAAAAAACTTGCATGTCTCGATCTTGTCTAAACTCAACAAATTATTATTTCTCGTGTGAAATTTTATGCTTTTGTTAAATATTGGCATTATTGAAACGCAATAAAATACGAAGGATCTTCTGAAAAAATTAAACAGTCCACCTATATTTTGCTTCCCCGTTTTGTAAGACGGTACAAGCTCTTTTCTACAGTTTTTATCTATAATATTTATTTTCGGTTAAGTTACTAACTGTAAGTTTTTAACAGATTGATTACTTTATGTAGTGATCATATTTTATTTTTAGCAATTAATTAACGAATTATGTCAAATAGACATCTTACAATAAAGGTTCTTATTTTACTTTACGACATAGATACATTATTACTTATAATTAATATACTAATATTACATTACATATCTGTTTAAGTAGTATTTAAATTAGACTAATTTAAAACCAAAAATACATATAGGTACATATTATTAATATCAGATAACATGACAAAAGTTTTATATCTGTATCGAAGTTATCTACCAAATCAAGTGTCTTGCCAAATAGCACACAAATCATTATTAGTAATAAAGTCAGCAAAATCGCAGACGGCCGGTTTAATAATAACGAATTTACGACCTTTTGATGGCCTGACCCAAACTTCTTGCCATTTCTAAGGTTGTTTAGGCGGTCCGTGCTGGGCATACACATGTCACATCTCATTTTAGTTGCTAACCAAAACAATATAAAGTGTTTGGTAATTTTTAATGTATGTATGTACCTATAGAAAAATATTATTTTAGTTTCATAAAAACAGACGTTTAGTTTCACTCCAAATTGCCCTTTGTTACCCTGACTCAGCTGTATTATCGTTTACAGCAAATTGCAGCTACCTAAATCACAAAGAAGCATCCCTTAGTCTTGTTATAAAGTAAAAGTAAAGTCGAAAAAAACTCTTGTGGTTAACCTTAAAATTTTTAAGTGGGATCTCGTTTGAACTGAAACTTCTATAAATAAGAAAATTTTTTAATTTGGTGTAAAGTTGAGTTAATATCATCTTTGTTTCCTCATGAGCTGTGTACTAGAGGAATGTTAAGGTGAATAAAAAGACTATGAAAAATAAATTACTGAAGCAGTGAAGGTATATCTTTGATAATTGTTGACAAGATGCTATTAGACCCAGCAGTACAGTAGTTATTTAAGTTTAAAACTTTGGTTTCAAATTCCACATAATTTACATATTTTAGTAACCATGACCCGTAAAAATTTTATACGTTAGGAACTGAAAAGGCATATTTAAGTAATGTACATACGAAAGTGTTTTACATTTGGCATATTATTCTACATGAACCAGAGTGAATAATTTGAAGGTGGTTATTTCTGTAATTTATATTAAAATAGAACATTATAGCTAATTTCAACTTACCTTCTTTAAAAAGTATAGTGAAACACTAAATTATAATTTAAAAAAAATTGTAATATTATTGACAAAAAACATTATTTTTTTTAGAAATTCATAGGTATCTATATTAAAAACTCTAAAAAGAAAAAAGGTGTCAGTTTTCAAAAGACCATTTGGGTTTCGTAAACAGCACAAATGGTAAGATTGCATTAAGGCAATATAAAACATTTTATTAGAAAGCTTCCTCAATTTACTACTGAGTTAGAGGTCTATATTGTAAACATATTAACTAAATGGCGAGTTTATACGCCAAAAAAACACTGTTTAAAATGTATATTGAAAACAGAAATCTTGAAATTAAGTAAATGCTATATTCTATTTTTATAATTAAAAAAATAAGTTAATATGCAAATGCGTTTTGTTTATAAACATGGATATTGTAGTAAGTTCACGTAACTGAAAATTATACAGAAACAATTATGAATAGAGTCGGAATTGTGGATACCAGCAGGTGCTTTAAGGTCGAAAACCTTCTGAGGTCACTGGCAGGAAGCACGTTTCTTATAAAAAGAAAAGAAATGCATCCAAGGTGAGAGTGAAGCTTTAAAAATGTTAAAATTAAAATTTCAAAAAAATATACAACTAGCTTTACGTTTTCACTGGTTAAATAGAATAATCAATATAATAGTTTGTGAATAGTATTTAAAAACAAAACTAGAAAATTAATAAAATAAATAATACTCTTTATTATTATATACTTATTAAAAAGTACGACATTAATAACCA